ATAATGTAAAATGTAAAATTCCTTTAAAGACAAATTTGCGCGCCATTTTGTCTGGCAGAATATGCGAACGTACGATTGTACAACCACACACATTTTTGGTACCATATTCTTGCATAAAATTATTATTATTATTATAAAAGTTTGTATTTTATTCCGTAAGTAAATATTTATTTAATTTATATATCATGTTTACGCGACATATAAATAATTACCCGATTTTTAAAAGGAAATGCCAGCTTAATTTATTATTGACAGCGATATTTTCCGATTTTACAACATTAATCCGAATTTTTAACGGTCTGCACGCTTTTCAGGCTCTGCCAGTCCGCGATGGGATTACGACTACGTCAATGGATGTTCGCGCAAACTTTCCGGTTAAGCCTTTTCACAATCCTCTTAAAGTGCACCTTGTAAATTAATTATTAATTTGAAATTGGAATACTTCTAAAGTGTGATGTTTCGAAAAAAGAATTCGGGTGAAACGGTCTTTTAGTTAAGTCTTTAGAAATATTTACGGCTAGTTATGTAATATCATTTTGAATATGGAATGCTTTTAAATATTCGAACCGCTGCAATTGTTATGAATAAATTTAAACCTCATTGTTTATATTCCTAGCCAGTTACGATTCAGTTATTGATATATACCTATCACCGGACTATTTTATTATTTTAAAATTCGAATGAAAACTAAATATAACATTAAAACTGTTGAATTGATGTTGCTAAAGGTAAGGAATTATATAAAGTTAGTTCTCTTTAGAATTCCTAAAGGATATTAATTCTAGTTCAATTTGGAAAATGGATAAAATGACTTCGAGACATACATGAAGTATAAAACTGTCAGGGCCACAGCACGGCGGTAAATGGATTGGTTGTCACGAGTATACGCTTACGAAGTTCGAAAAATATTTCTATCAATGTTAAGAATTAAATAAATTTTTCGTTAATATACTTTAAAGAAAACGTTTCTTATCTTATCTTTAACATTTTTCCTTTTATTTTCGAAAAATCATAAAGTAGAGCTTCGATCCTGATACGTAAAATCCGGAATGAATATTATTCTATGTAAGCAATTAACACTTGTACAGTCTGGATAACCAGTGTCTTTGACCCAAAAAGTCAACCACGTGTGTCAGAAGGCTTACTTGTGAATGGAACAGATGCGATTTAAGAAGTTTGTAACGCATTTATTACGCTAAAAATATATAAAAAGTTGCGATTATTCTTGGAATATTTTAATAGTACCAACAATGATAAACAGCAGTGGTGGCTTAGTGGCTTGGTGGTGATATTAACCCTAGGATTTAGGTTCGAACACCGGCTGTAACACTAACTCTTACAGTCAAGGAAGACTTTGTGAGAAAACCGGCCTTAGACCCAAAATGCGGCTGGTATGTGACTCTGATCACCTACTTTCCAATTAGAAAAAAATCACAAAAAGATATGGATATCTGAGGTCAAGACCAAAGCAAAGAGATGTTTTACGTCTTCCACATAATTTATTTAAGATGAGACATTAAATAGCGTCAATAAAGCTCTTTACGCCATTTTAACCATAGCTATCACATAATTTGCTCGTTACTACGAACCGCAACGTTATTACAATCGAAAAGGGGTGAATATTTACGGGTTTGATAAATATTTTTATTTATTTTAATTATAGAAAATATCAGCGACCTCCATAGGTCAGTTTTATTGGATAATTTGTTTAGTTTAATTTAAGGTGACAAATTTATTTCGTAAAGTATATAGTGACAGATATATGAGCAGTGTTAGCCTATTGGCTAAATCGTGCGACTCTCATCTCTGAGGTCGTAGATTCGATCCCCGGCTCCAATGGACTTTCATTCTATGTGCGCATTTAACTTGCGCCGTTCCAAAAAGACCCAAAAAGTCGACGGCGTTTGTCAGGCACAGTAGGCTGATCACCAACTTGCCTATTTGTTTGACAAATGCTCATGAAACAGATACAGAAATCTGAGGCCCAGCCCTAAAAAGGTTCTAGTTTGACTGACTGATCCCAAGCGAAATTAGAGATTTATCACTAAAATTTTTAACCCCCCTTTTTAAAAGATTTTTTATCAAAAAATTTTTTTTTTTTTTGGGGCTTTTTTTTTTTTTCCCTTTTTGGGGGGGGGACGCCCCCCCCCCCAAAATTTTTTTTAAAAATTTTTGTTTTTAAAGGGGGGGGGGGGGGGTTTTTTTTTTTTTTTTTTTCCCCCCCCCCCCCCCCCCCCCGGGGGGGGGGGGGTGAAAATAATTTTTTTTTTTTTTTTTTTTTTTAATAAAAAAAAAGGGTTTTTTTTTTTTTTTTTTTTAAATTTTTTTTTTTTTTTTTTTGATTGATTTATTTTAATTTATTATATAGCTAACAACTTCGTAAAGTATATGACCAAAGTCGAATCGTCGAGTTACGTTAATAATGTAATAAATTCACGTTAATATATGTTGATGAAGTTTTATTAAAGTTCAGTACTTGTGAAAGCTAGACCAAGACGAGACGAGTCTAACAGATAACATATGATATGGTTACATTTTTTTTATAGAACATCGGGTCGGCTCACCTGATGTTAAGAGATACCCATGGACACTCAACGCCAGAGGGCTCGCGAGTGCATTGCCGGCCTTTTAAGAATTGGTACGGTTCTGTGAAAGAATCTTATTGGTTTATAAATATACAGGCGGGAAGCTAGTTCCACATAGCGGGCTACCACATATCGTTCAGTAGTGGAACGTTTAGGTGATACGGGTGGAATTTCATATTCTGCCTCGACGTCCGATGAAACTCAACAACTATTAATTATTATTAATTCAAACAACTCCTCTTAACACTCTCCATGGTGAATCCTGTAGAAGATGCAACGTCAAGGGATCAATCCGCTGGGAAGGTGACTGTTCGTGGACTGGTAATATTTAACTGAGAAGTCACATGCTCCTGTAATATATTTTCACTAATTAACAATCAAACAAGTGAGTTATTTATTTATACATTATAAAACAATCCCTATGCCAAAAAAATACAAGAAAGTATGACATCACAAATTTAATACACATACACATCAATTACATTAGAACATAAGAAATCTATCAAAGCAAAAATTAACAAACAACCACAAAATAAAAATAAAATAAAACAAAAAATAATAATAATAACTAAAACTAAAAAGTTACAATAACAGTAATAAACTAAATGAAAACTTAAACCACATTAAGAGCCTGCAAAACAAAGTCACGGTAAGTTGGTAGACTGTTGTAAAACACATCAATATTTTCATCAATTATATTCATATAAAAGAAAATGGTCTTCTTAGTCCTTCCCTAAACCACTATCGTATCGACATGAAACTACCACCATTCGATGCGAAATTTTTCCTAGATGGCTATTTATTTATTAAATTCCAACGTTCCTCCTTTTTTTTCCTCTATTTTTTTATTGCTGTTTTACTTTTTATGAAAATTTATCCATACGGACTTCACCGCGGAAACATTCGGGAGGCTTCCTAGAACCTCTAAACGTCAACATTAAATGTTAAAAACTCGATTTTCGAAATATTTCAATTTTCTTAGCGGGAGGTTAAAAAGAAGAATAATAAAATTTATTTTAATTCGTCCAGCAAAGCGGGCGCGAAACGGCTAGTATTCATATAATATTATAAAGCAAAAGAAACAATAATTATACTGCAAAAATACCGCAAAGAGTTAACACAAAACAACCGAAAAAATATTTCATTACGCAAAGGAAAACACAGTTAATTCCCCGAAAAAAGGGAAACGTTACTTTCGTTCCCATTAAAAGCAAGAGATAAGCCCCGTTGTGCTGTCAACTCATACATCGTTAATTCTGGTAGAACCTCAACTTTTTATTGTACGCAATACCTATTGCTATATATTAAGTGGCCGTGTGACGGCACATTTATCTTTCTGTGAGAACTCTTACAGATAATTAACGAAGAAGGGCTCTTATCATATTGGTCTGAATTAACGGAATGATAATTCAATTGCCCGTTCTTTATTAGTTAGATAGTAACGTTTTTATTGTCTATATCGAAATACTTTGCTGCTGTTGAAAAAAGATAATACAAATACGATTAACAAAGGATTGTACTAGTTTCAGATTTATATTTCAGCTAGCTGGTCACTTGCAACCTTTTCGCTACTATGTTATATTCAAAATGGTCGAGTGTATTTTCTATATGTATTTTTTTTAATATAGTAGATGAAATAGTGAGATTGCTTCTATCTAAAATGTAAAAAAACGAATTCCAACCAAACAGTAGCAGAGTGTTTGAAATAAAATTACTTTTGCAATTCGTCATTCAGCCTTTTTTAAGTCAAATTATGACACTTGCTGCTTATAGCTTAATTCAGTATAAACTATTTTATTTATTTATTATTAAACTTACAGCCAACATACATATTATAAAACAAAACACTTAGACAATATATATACAAAGTGAAACCAGATTACATAAATAAACAATATATATGTAACAGAAAACATATGTAAAGTACATTAATAGACAAAAAGAAAGAAAATAAAAGAAAATTTAAATTTAACATTGAACATATGACAAATAATACTGAATATTTCAAATAAAAAACTAAATAAATAGTAAGTGCTAACTAAGGCTTACGTGGAAAGTTGGATTTTTTTATAATAGTGAGTTAGCCTTTTGAATATGTGAACATTTAATCTATCTTCATTAAAATTATTTAAATCATGAAGGAGATATCTTAGTGATTATGACATAATAGAGACACGGCTATATTGGATTCAGTTTTCCTTCTGTACCTATTTCAAATGCATTGTAATGTGTCTTAATCGCAAAGATCTTTTTAACTTTATATTGTTTTTATTTCATTATCGTGTCGCTATTCATTTGCAACACTTTAAATTGCATTCAAATAATCAAATTTTTCGCACTTAATATGTTTGAAAATCATCCTTCAGCTTGTGAAGCTACCTTTCGATATTGCAAGAGCACCCTTGCTGTATGTGCTTAAGGTATGGCGCGCGCTGAAAGCTTCAGGTTCTGAGCTGCTTGCCCTCCCCTCAGTAACGGTTTCGCAGGCGTGGAGGCCACACGCATTTGGGCGGGCGACTTTCCGCCCACGGCAATTTGTTCGCGACAGACTTGTAATGTTGGCCTGAAAATTGTGTGTGTTGTGTTAGAGTTGTATATGGACTATTGATGGATTTGTGAGGTAGGTTTTGTTTTTTAAAAATATACACAGGTTTATATATAAATTAAATAGTTTTTTGGAAATTGTAATTGAAAAATTTCTGATAATTTTTTTTACTAAGTTTAAGTTTTACTAACATCATAACTTTGAAATAACTTCGGATCTTAATTGTTCAATTTATTTTTATTAACAGAGTGAATATCAATCAAATTAACAAAGGTTCTATTGAGCTATAATAAACCAACCATTCATTAATATCCTGATTGATTCATCAAAGCAAAGCCTTAATCCGATTTGCCAGCTGATGTATTTTATGTCCATCCAATAAACTTTCATAAGCGTCATTACTTAATAAGTGTAGTAATTATTAAAGATAAAACAAACTTTTTTTAGCATAGTTCAAAGTACTTACGCGATAGAAGACGGAGATCAAAACCTGTTTTTGTCCAAGCACTTGTATCAACAAAACTAAAAAACTCCAACAATACAGATGTCAAAAAGTCATTTACATCTATTGTTATCATTTTTCCCGGTGAACTATTCCACCTACATCAAATGCCATTAAAAATATACTTTATGCAAAACTGGACTTTATGGACCTTAAAATTACATTCAAGATTTATGTAGGAAGATATTGGTGTTAAGATACAAAGAAACATCGATAAAACAGATAGCAGTAAGGTACAAAAGAGTGTAACAAAAGGGTATTATTCCAGATAAACGCGGTGTGTTTGTCTCGTCGTAAAAATATAAGACACGTCCGGTATTAAGGCTGTACGCTTATTTTTATTTAATTTGGTTTTCTTTTGTATGTACACTATCTATAATCTATGATTTTCATATAAATATAACTTAATGTGTAAATAAGAGAATAAATTATCAATAAGTATTTAGTGGACAAAGTATATAATTATAATAGTATATTATTAGGATTAAAATAATTATATACATATTTTGTCTTATTTTTAATAATACTGAGAGTAACAATAACTGCATTTTGCCCTGGAAAAAATTACGATATGATCAAATACGGTATTATAAAAAATTTGGTTCACAATTATATATTATAGTATGAAATTCTATATACTAGTTGACCCGGCAAATGTTTGCCAGGTCAGCTAGTTCATTATGTCTTATCGTTAAAAAAGCATTCGTAAGAGACGTTTTCAATCGACCGTTTTTTCTCCGACTCACTTTGGCTTTCTATTATTATCACAATAATTTTCAAAATCGGTTTAGTGCATTCAGAGATTACCTTCTACTTCCCAAACTTTACTTTCTACAATATTAGTATAGATAAAAATTATTATGCCACTACCCATGCTCATAACCACAAATATCTGTTTTCTTAATTGTTTCTTTAGTCTGTGCCTGAAACATGCCGATTTTCGAGTCTAAGACACGCCGCTTTGCAAACGATGTTATCCTTCATAGCACGAACAAGTGCTAATACTCTATTTGTGCGGGGTTTTAACGTACGACTCATGGTTTAGAGTCGCACATACCCTAGAAGTCGAATGTGTAATACAGCTAAGTACCATAAGATAAGAAGAAGAATTTAAATAACTTAAAAATAATATTGATATCCTATTGAATTCAATATAAAGTAAATCTCTGCAATTTATATAGTGTTATCAAACGTCGCATCGCAGTATCTATTACGAAATTGCCATTTGATAAATCGCCAAACATTATTATGGGCGGCAAAAGAAATGGACGTACTCAACTTCAAACGAAACCTCTTTTAGGATGTCATTCGAATATCAACTTTACCCCAACGAAATAGCTTACATTTATGAATGGTATGTGGAGATTGTATATTTTTAGCAAAATAAGTATTACTTTTATGAAGGATCATAATGGAACGTAGAGTAAATGAATGTTATCGTTAGTAAATGAACCATTCGGCTTAGGTCTCTACTCGTATTACTCATATAACTATTATATTTCCGCGTCACTGCATTGTTGCGATAAAAAAAAATTCAAAAAATTCAAAAATCATTTATTCACGTAGGTAACACAATGTACACTTGTGATTCGTCATTAAAGAAATATATATGAATGCTTCTAATTTTACATTTACTGCCAGTTCTCAAATCAAGGGCGTAGAACGGAAGAGAAGAACTGGCAATAAACTCTCCGCCACTCTTTTTAATCGCCATGTTTTTTTTACACAACGTTTGTAAGGAGCTGCAACCATTACACCATGTTCCACATGACATCTTAAGTAATTAATAATAATAACATAAATTAAAAACAAAGACTTGTCCTCTATCAGCAGGAGGCATGGTGAAATAGGAGCACGCACTTACATTCTCGTGGGAACAACACGCAAACACATAGTCGAAATAATTAACATCACCGCATACACGAATTCAAGTACGACATCACCACAAGTACCCCGTTCACGAGTACGACGCATGGCCAGCCATCGGCCAAAAATCTGACCTTCGTTAAAAAAGTTGGTAACGTATATATATTTAAGCTCACATAGAAAGAAAGAAAGAAAAAACTTTATTATACAGAATATACAGGATATTTAGCAAAGTGCACTTGCCTCTTATACATATCGATTGTATATTACGCAGAACACTAGGTTCCTCCTAGAATGAGAAATCGGAGAACGCTGAATTCTCCTCTACTTTTAAAGAACAGGGGGCAAACGAGCAGGAGGCTCATCTGATGTTAAGACAGTGTCATGGACACTCTCAATAGCAGAAATTTTAGGCTCTTTCTGTTACCCTGACCCTTAGCTAAATTGGTTCGGAAATACTTCAGTAGATAGCTGGTTCCAACAGTGGTGGTGCGCGGCGAAAACTGTCTAAAATAACGATCAGGAATGATGGACATCGTGGTGATGCAAACTACATCAATACTCTATCTTCTGTCCTTATTGGTGAACAATCGTTCGTTCTTTTTGAGACAATATCTGCTCCTTCGTAGGTTCCGCAAATAGAAAAGTGTGCTTGAGAGGATTTTATTAGTTTTGATTTTAAGTAGAATTTTAAAATGCCGTACACAGTGATATACGAAATGATTTTGGTGTATAATTCTACCATACTACATTAATAGCATGTACATTAGCAGTAAAATAGCAATGTCGTTGATTTTATATGTAAAATTAAATTAATTCAGCCTTTACTAGGCGTGATAAAAATGCATTAAAGCTTATATTATTACAATGGCCTTTGTAACGGAAGAAAAGAAAATTGTCCCGCATACCAGATTTGCACGAACTCACGGAAATCTTTCTGTTAAACGCAAACAAGCCCAACACAACAGTTTTAAAACTAGCTGATAACCATGACTCGTTTGACTAATGAAGTCAAAACTTATTGTAATATATACAAAACAAAATTTAGTTTTAATGATTATTGAAGCTTTGTTTGCGCCAAGCATAGTCAAACTGTGATATGGAAGCAATGAAAATTTTAATTATTAAACAATTAATAACTATTAAACATTCAAACATATTTTAAACTGTTTAGTATTTATTATATTATTACAAGAAGCCGTCATGACATAGTAAGGTGGTCGTTTCAGTCGTAGCGTATTCATTTATTTATTTACACTTTGTTACCTTATACAAAAACATACATATAAAAAAGCAGGTTACATAAGTTATAAGGCATCGGGCGTAATGTCATTTTATTTTACCGAATTAGCTGTTCCTGAGGTTAGCCCATTTAACAAAATATACAATATTTTCGAGAAATCGTAGATGTGAATCATTGGTTGAATAAATGCTATGTCGATGTTGACTGTTTCTAACTTTATCTTCAAAAGTTAGAGACAGGGGACTGGTCAAATAGAAGTGGACTAATTAATAAGGGTCTGCGGTTGTTTGTGGGACTCCAATTTGATTAAAAGGAATGTACTAACTAGAAATGAGTTTATTGACTTAAATATGAAGTAAATAAAGCTTGAAACATGCTTTTTACCAAAAAATGTATATTAACTGACGTTTACTATTTATATATAATCACTAGCTGACCCGGAAAACGATGTTTTGCTATGTATATTATTTCTAGGATTTTTTTTGTTTAATAAAATTAGCTAATACTAAAGGGTTGACTGTAGAGGGGTGAAAATTAAGGGTTGTATGTATTTTTGTATGATGATCATAAAAAAATAAAAACTAAAAAAAATGTCCTAAAAATAAAAAAAACTATTTGGAGTGGACCACCATTAACATTTAGGGGGTTGAAATATAGATGTTGTCCGATTCGCAGACCTAACCGATATGCTCACAAAATTTCACGAAAATCGGTCGAGCCATTTCGGAGGAGATTAATTACAAACACCGTGACACGAGAATTTTATATTTTAAAATAATGAGCATATTGGGGTAATATACTGCGATTGAAAAGCAAAACGTTTTCTAGTCATTGTCATAACTATAACACAATTAAAAATACTTTTTTAATTGTGTTATAGTTATGTAATATTTTTTGTTAAAATTTGACCTATATATGTTGTAAATTAATAAATAATTGCATAAATGATTAAAAAGTTTCTCACATTAGACTCTTGAGATGTTTACGTTCCTGCAAAACGTTTATAAATAAGAGATAGATTAGTGGTATACCTACACATAAATAATAAAAATTCATTTGCGCTACAACACTAAATAAATCTTAGCCTCAGATTGCATCCGTTTCTTCGATCATTTTTATTTCAAGAACGTAATCAGCCTTCAGTCTGACACTGAGGTTTCCTCACGATCGTTTTCCTTACCATACAATTTTTCTATTTATCACTAGCATGACGAAGGTGAACATCTAATAAAACCAAATAGTCTGAGGCCTTGTAGGCGGTAGGTCTTGCCAATAAAATAATGATCCCTTAGCAGATGCAAACTGGAGGTCTGAAGGGATGAAGCGCGAGTGGACTTTTATTACGCCATATCTTTATCTATATATATTATGTATATAAATCTAGTACTATCTAGTACAAGATAAAATAAATTATTTTAAAGCAGTGTTGGCCTAGTGACTTCCCCTGACTTCAAGCCTGAAGTCATGCGTTCGATTCACTGCTGTGCACCAATGCACTTTTGTTTCTAATTTCTATGTGAATAATTAAAACTTGCTCGTAGGGTGAAAGAAAACATCGTGAGGAAACCGGCATCCGGTAGACCTATAAATTCATAGCGTGTGTCAGGCACAGAAGGCTGATCACTTTGGCTTTAAAAAAACACGTTTAGCCACTGTGTTTTTTTCCTTTTATACAAGACTAGCGGCCCATCCCGGCATCGCACGGGTGAGCTTTTATTTTTTAAAAACATTCTGTAGATATTGATTGATATGTTATTTAATATTGTGGAACTTTGTTTTGTTCTATCATCAATAGTTTTCGCATGCGATGAAAGATATTTTATAGGCATTTTTTTACACCTTGGGTAACATTATTGTAGTTTTAGTAGGGATCCTTATTTTTGTTTGCAATTAAAATATAAATCAGTGATAATGTAGCATTGAAATGGTGAAAGAATTTTTAGAATCGGCCAAGTGCTTTTTGAGCCAACTCGTTACAAACATACTTACATACAAATCTTTCCTCTTTATAATATTAGTATAGATAACTTAAGGCTTTAAGGAGAATAAAGAATTACCAGTTACGTAACACATTCACGTCAGCGTTCGCATTGTCTATTAACCAGTGGCAGTAAATTATCAGCTGTTCCTTCTCCGTGAGCAACGATCGCGTGTTGTGGTGCCTGTGCATGCCACGCGATACCAAAATTTCCTCCTGAAGATTACCAACCGATTCCCATACACACGATATGATTTCTAATCTATGAAGGATGATAATGTAAATCCTGACAGACCAAATGTAGACCAAGGAGGCACTCGTATATATTTTTAAAGTAAATGATTATTGAGTATTACGCATATATTATACAGAAGAGCAAAATACAAATAAAATGTAAAAAAACAACGGGTTGCACTCCGGGAGTGCCGGCAGAAGTGAAAACTTGAATATTAACGTTGTGCATTTTTGATATTTTGGAATGGTTAGGGAATAATTTTGCACGAATTGCTTTAGTTATCAGTATAAAAGTACTATCATTTATATGGTAGAATACAATATTTATTTATTGCGCTATCGTACACAAACATGACAATTTATATTACATTAAATACGCCACGCCAGCTGTCTACTCTCCATCCGTCTTACGAATTTTCGATCAGGTCACGTGTCCTGACGCTAGTTTAAATTTTTTTTACCCATTCCAAAAAAAGTGTACAACGCCGCTAAAGAAGTTTTCACTTAAAAAAAATACTAAATTTTAGGTAAATATTACTTTTCTTAAATATATTTTTTCGTAAAGTTTCGTCGGTAATTGTAGGTAAAACATATACGCTATGTACCAACTAAACGCAGACTGAGACTCAGAATACGTAGGTGGGAATGAATACATCAATTTACCGTTTAAGATTATGTCTATATACACTAAAGAATAAAATGCGTGCGTAAAGCTATTAAAATCTCCTGACAGGTTTTATTCGAAAGAAATAGGAAAGAAATGCTTTTCCATTGCTTAGGGGGAAAGGGGCTAGTTTGTGAAAGTTTGCGGTGCGTGTTGGACATGCAGAGGGCGTTACGATGTGTTAATTCCAACTGTCATTGTATGAAAAATCATTTTAAGGGGTCCAAACAATAGTCTAGAGTTTTCGTTAATTATAAGAACCAGTCAACTTAGTATATTAAACAGTTTTTAGATTTAAAATAGCTAAGATGTGAACTAACGTATAACCCGATAGGGTTGGGTTCAATTCTTGGTAAAACAATAACTGTTTCATGTTGGCAGCTACAGACGGTTGCTCCAAAGGTGGTCGTATTTTCTTTTTGATATGATGCTTTACCGTACAACCAGGAGATATTGACAGAAACCTTAAGTAGTGCACGGCTTGGTGTCATACGGTCGACCTCAGCATTAAGAATCACTCACTCAACGCCTGTTCATTAATATCGGAGTGGTGGACTCAGTTTCCGCACTTAGACTCATAATCGGTCCGTTGTGCGTAAATATCGGAGTGTCTGGCCACCTGAGATGCTGTAGATAATATAATTAGAGGTACCATAAACATTACAAAGCAAGTCTATACGCACAATCTCTTACGGTATATTCGATTGTCACGTATGTTAACCGGTAGGTGATAATTAGCAACACACAAAATGCATTTAGAAAGGTCATGGAAACACCAGGGCGTCGGCAATTAGATTAGCTGGCGCGGAGCCCGTAAATTGTCCGGGGATGCCAACTTCGCCCTGCTTCCTCTGTTTAGCGTAAGCGAGACAAATTTAGACTAAATTGTCCTAGAGTTGCGGTCAATTGTACGCTTCTATGTAAATTGTTGGCTGAATTGCGGAGTTTGATACGAATTAGCCTGGTTACATGCTTAATTCAGTTTACGAATGTATTTTCATAGGTATTGTGGATAATTCACTTAAATGGAACTATTAACTAACAACCGTGAGTATGTCAGGTTGAATGCTACTGGTCCTACCCTCTCAATGGGTAGATACATACTGTGTATTGTCTGCGTGTACCAACCTGAAAGCATATTAATAATAATAATATTAAATCGTTTATTAGCAAAGAAAGTGATGCATAGATCGATGAATTATAAAAATCGGCACGCAAATAAGCATGCAAATGTCATATTAATTTTTATAACGTCATATAATAAGAACATTAACATAATGTCGTAATAATAAGTTGAGTTATTTATAATTGTTGTCAAACTTATGGTCTAAATATTCGCCCACGCTATAAAGGCGCCTTGCCTTTAAAAATTTAATAACCTCCCCCTCGAAAGCGTTACACAGCAGTGATCTATAACTTCTAGGAAGGTGAATAAATTGTTTGTAACAATTGTTTGAACACATCGTGGTGCAACATGCATGCATCCACAGCCGTGTTGGATCCCTCGGTATATACCTACAGGCAAGCTTCTTTAAATGATCAAATGTGTCCAAATACCGAGTTCGTAAAAAAATGATCTACAGTTTACATGCTGTCCAACGCCCATAATAGCCCTAATAAATTATTTTTGTTTCATCAGCATACCTGCATTACCCAGATGTGCGTTTATCACTACGCAATGGAGGCCTTAATACGAGATTAATTTTATATAAGACCTTAACCTTACTATGACCTAAAAAAGGAACCTAAAAATTACATATAAGGCACAATAATAATTACCTCAGTAATATCACAGTTCTAAATTAAATAAGTAATAAATTATTCAGTCCCTAACCTGTAATAATTATGTCGTTGTAATAAGCAAATGTACTCGTAAATAACTTTAGTACATCCATTAGGTATGTATATAAAAGAATAACGCACCTTTACAAAAGAGAGGTATCTTTTGTAGTAGACAATTGCAAAACTAAAAGAGGTCTAAATCCCGCTGAGTTTCAACAATCGATTAGTTACACGTCGCGGTAAAAATATTATGTCATTCTATCTACAAAATGTCCAGTTCTCTAAAATAAAATGGTTTTACACCCGCTGTAGTTCCGAGAGCGTGTCCGACAATGCACCAATGATTATGTTATAGCGGTTGTAAAGTTAACAATGTCCGAAAATTGCTATTGTCTACGGGGATATTAAAATTCTACACTTTAACAAGTTTAGGGTGTAAGCAAATATAAGCTTTGTAGCTTTAGCCCTATAGCAGAAAATAGCGTGACAAAGTTTCAACATCATGACAGTTTATTTGAATGGCGTTGTATCCGATTGGTGATTTATTTATCTTTTGTTTTTGGCTATTTAACTAGTGGTATCAATAGCTGACTCTGAGAAGGTCGTTACTCTTACATTGTGCTTCTAGTATTGTTCCCAATGACATCGTTAGTAGCAAAGCGGGTGGTCGCACATTGAAATTCAATTGACGACGTAATAAATCACGTAGGAAATCATTTTAGTAATTGTCTTGATTATTCCGTAGTCGGACTTTTTCAACTTTGATTTTATTGTTTTAGCTGCCACGTAGATATTGTGAAGGTGTGAAGGATGTTTCCATTTTTTCTGATAAATGTTTTTACGCTTCCAAAATCCCATTCATGTGTTTTTGATCGTGTATCATCCTTTGATATATTGCGTTTACAGATAACAAAGGAAATTGTTGTCCGTGTGTCAAAATATAGCCAGCAGCTTACATGCCATACTTGCCACCTACGATATTTTAAATACGCTTTCTTTGTATTAAAAATATATTTCATAGACATACTTAGAAACATAACCAAGTATTGATTAAATATATATTTTAACTTAGTTTTTAAGTTTCAAATTACAAAAAATGGTTTCATTTTTTATAACGTAATTTTTTTACATTCAACTATTATGAAGAAATCCAAAAAACGTATTGTTACCTTAAGCATTGGGATATCCAAACATTCATTGCCCAAATATCTCAAAGCTAAAACCAAGCTTATTGTTGTCGTGGGACGTACGATTGGTGTCTATTGTAACATCAGTGTTACAATAAGTTGACCATCAGACACAATCTTTTGTTGCCAGCAGCTGAACATTTATAGCCGATATCCACCCAACTGGAATGAGGTATGACTTTTATAAAATACGGATCTATAATGTGGGGTTCAAGCTATATATTATGAGTGACAAAACAGCAAAGCTTGGTAGTAATAGTAGTAACGCATCGTCATTTATCAATGATATTTTTTTATACACACCCAACGTCAATTCAATTTACGCCTTTCGATGTAATAAAAACTGATTTATTGCTCTTATTCAAAGTAGAACGTAACACGGTGCCAGGGAACTTTAAAACCAAATTCGATGTTTCGTGTAAATAATGAGCGCAAAAATTGGTCAATTTATTGAGTTGCAGCCAAAAATTTCGCTCGCATTCCCCATTTTAATTCGACTAAACCTTGGTCCTTTCATTCAGCCAAATAACCTCTCAACTTTAACGAAGCAAGCAATAAAGAGACAGAATTAAAACGCACTAGAGTGCCCTCTAAAAGATTTCACGGGCATTCGGCATTAACACTAGTACGATAATGAGGTAGACGGACTTTGGAGAGTATCCAGGGTATCCACTAAACATTCCGGGAATGTAGCCAAAATGGGTGGGGATATAAAACTATTACTTATCGTTGTTGGCTTAAGTGAAATGTTTTGGGGTCGCTGTTATATAAATGAGAAAGCTTCTTACGCTTACACTTGAAAGCATTGTATTAAAAGGGTTTTTTCTTGGCATGAGATAACATGTTGTTCTTTTTTGATCGTAGTTTCGTACTGTAAAATTAGTTAGTAACAAATATATTGTCGAATTGTAATATTGTCGATTTAAAAATTATATAGGTACAGTAAGAACTCATGTTGTACTTTGAATCTGTTTTAATCTGAATGGTACGGTGAAGGTAACATAGTAAGGAAACTAGCTGGTCTTCATGTAATATTATGAAGCGAGATTTTGTGCTAAATGAGGCATGTCAAATCCAATATATTTTTGGCCTACGGGACTCGGAATCTCCGGGTAAGGCTCCTACTTCAACGATGGTTATGAAGGAAATGGGAGACCCATAGAAGTTTAAGTACAAATAACATTTAAATAAGACCGCATAGTTATCAATTCTAACGACACGCCATACAAACCTTGTTTTCCTAATCCACTTATGTATTGCTGTGCCCTACATTCCTAGATTTTCCACATGCAACATTCATGACACCGACTCTCAACATTAGGAGT